TCCAGCACCCCCAGGGGTCAGGAAACACCCCCCCAAAAGGGACACAGGGGGGAGGGCACGCCCCAAAAAAGGGACCCAGGAGTCCAGGACCCCCCCAAAGAGGGACCCAGGTGTCTGGGGACCCCCCAAAATGGGGATCCAAAATCTGGGACCCCCAAAAGAGGGACCAAGGAATCAAAGACCCCTCAGGAAGGGGACCCAGGAGTCCAGCACCCCCAGGGGTCAGGAAACACCCCCCCAAAAGGGACACAGGGGTGAGGGCACGCCCCAAAAAAGGGACCCAGGAGTCCAGGACCCCCCCAAAGAGGGTCCCAGGCACCTGGGACCCCCCCCAAAATAGTCCCCGGGTGTTCGGGGGGACCCATTCCTCCCTTTCAATCTCAAACCAGCCCCCCCAAACCCAACCCAAAGAGGGACCTGGGTGTCCAGCAGCCCCAAAACGGGGACCCAGGCACCCAGGGACACCACCCCCCCCCCAAAAAAAGGGGGGGAGGCCGTGGCGGGGGTCTCACCGCGGCACTGGAGGCAGTACCACTCCCGGATGGCCTTGGCCATCTTCTCCGTGATGTTGATGCAGTCGCCGTGGAACCACTCGTTGCAGTTGTCGCACCCGCTGTGGGGAGGGGGGACACACACAGGGTCACCCGGGGGTCCGGGACACCCCCACGCCCCGCCCTGAGGGGACCCAGGCAGCAGGGACACCCCCAAATTCCACCCTGAAGGACCCAGGGGGGCAGGGACACCCCCATTCCCCATCCTATGGGGACCCGTGCGTCCGGGACACCCCCATATTCCACCCTGAGGGGACGCAGGAGTGTAGGGACACCCCCATATTCCACCCTGAGGGGACACAGGAGTGTAGGGACACCCCCATATTCCACCCTGAGGGGACCCAGGCATCAGGGACACCCCCAAATTCCACCCTGACAGGAGCCAGGGGGGCAGGGACACCCCCATTCCCCATCCTATGGGGACCCGTGCGTCCAGGACACCCCCAAATTCCACCCTGACAGGAGCCAGGGGGGCAGGGACACCCCCATATTCCACCCTGAGGGGACCCAGGGAACCAGGACACCCCCATATTCCACCCTGAGGGGACCCAGGCATCAGGGACACCCCCAAATTCCACCCTGACAGGAGCCAGGGGGGCAGGGACACCCCCATTCCCCATCCTATGGGGACCTGTGCGTCCGGGACACCCCCAAATTCCACCCTGAAGGACCCAGGGGTGCAGGGACACCCCCAAATTCCACCCTGACAGGAGCCAGACATTGGGGACACCCCCATATTCCACCCTGAGGGGACCCAGGGGTGCGGGGACACCCCCTTATTCCATCTTGAGGGGACCCAAACATCCAGGGGGGTCCCAGGCAACCACGACACCCCCATATTCTGCCCCAAAGGGACCCAGGCCTCCGGGACACCCCCAAATTCCACCCTGAAGGGCCCAGGGATCCGGGATACCCCCATATTCCGCCCCGAGGGGCCCCAGGGGTGCGAGGGGGGGCTCCCCGGTGTTTCTCTCACATCATGAAGCAGTTGATGTCGGGTTTGCGGCAGACGCAATAAACCGGCGCGTTCTCCTCCCCCCCCGGGCCCGCCTCCGCGTCCGAGAACTCGCTGTCCTGGGGGGGGAGGAAAATAAATACACAACCAAGAGGGAGTCAGGGCGACCGGGGGGGAACCCCGACAGCCCGGAGACCCCTCCCGGTCCCCCCCCGCCCCCCCCTCACCATCGTCCCTCCGCCGCGGCCGCCGCTCCCGAGAGCGGAGCCGGAAGTGGGAAGGACAAGGCTACTTCCGCTTCCGGGTCATGGGTGGTGGTGCGGGGGGGGGAGTGTGCGCGTTTCCAAAATGGCCGCCGCCGCAGGAAGTGCCCGCCCCTTAAAGATGGCGGCGCCCACGGGGGGCGGCCATGTTGGGGGGGACCCGGGACCCCCACACTCACACACTCACA